GAAACGTTGTGAATATGGCAATATAGGTGAGGACACCAGTCCGAACACTGTAAATATTGTTAATATTTGGGTAGGGTTGTAACAGATGACGGAAAATATAACAGCGAAATCAGAAGACGCATCGGAATTGCGGAAAACATATAGGAAGTTGTGGAGAGTCATGATCGCCTACATACTGGAAGCACGTAAAAGAAGAAGAAAGTATTCTTGGAGGAGAAGTCGTCGTGTTTTGTCACTTGCTCAAAGTTTTCAGCCGATCCAACTAATTGCGCTTTATTTCTCTGTTATCTTAAATAGATAAAGGGAAAAAATCGGTTGAAGTCTAGATTCTTAAAAGTCAATTAAAATATTCCGATAAACACCGAAGAGGGAAAAAGTACTATCAGGAAATGTTTCCAAGACTATTCGTCGCCAGTCAATTTCTAAATATTCGTCTTTGCTATCTGTTATAACTGGTTTTCGCTTGTTGGCCGGAACATTTACTAATTTAATGAACATGGTCACCTGTAGATCACCCTTTCACAGAAAGGAAAATATATATTGAAACAAAAAACAAAGTTATGCAAAGAGAATTATATAAACATTACTGACAGATCTACATTATCCGATGTATGAAAATCGTGAATGTGAGTCTAGACGTCGTATAAACGAAGATTAATATGATCTAAAAGGAAACTGAATCACATAAGAATTCTTCAACTGTACCAGAAATTCAAGAAACGCCGTTTATGTTTGGAAGAAAATATGTCTTTTTTATCCAACCTAACCTTTACTATCTGTCTATATTTCTAAGATGAGGTATATGTACATTTTTTTTTACTTTGTTCGGACTATCGTCCTCATCTTTGTTTCCATTTTTATCACAACGTTTCGGCCGTCGTACGCCCCGGCCTTCTTCAGGTGGTGTGAATATCGAACTGAATCCTTTATTTCGCTCGATGGAGTAGACTGTTATGGTTCCATGTGCCATATCTAATGGATGTCCGTTATCAGTTATCTCCTGTTAATTCCCCTCTCCAAGTTCTCCACCGCCTTAACCAGGTATTGAACTCACACTCTTTGGGTCCTGTCACTGGATCTAACTAACGCCTTTATCCACCGTGACATGTGTCCTTGAGGAGAGGGGGATTAACAGGAGATAACTGACATCCATTAGACATGGCACGTGGAACTAGAATAGTTTATCCCAGCGAGCGAAATAAAGGGTTCGGTTCGACATTTTAACCACCTGAAGAAGGCCTGAGCGTACAACGTCCGAAACGTTGTGATAAATATGGCAACATAGATGAAGACGATAGTCCGAACATTGTATATAGTCTAACGTTTACTGTTGTTAAAACAGCGTTTCAATTTACCTATTTTTCAGTCTTCGTTAAGGATAATCCTTTATTACAAATGAAACCTTCTATTATTAGAAAAACTTTTGGAAATTTGTAGTTCGTTTAGAGTTCATGTACTAGAAGCTGGAATAAAAAATACCAACTGAAGATTTTTGAAGGTTAAGGCGGCAATAGATCTTAGTTAATTTGTTGGCTAATATGAAACAGATGAATTATTGCCAGACTCATCACATATGTGTAAAATGATCATTGTTCTTTTTGTCAGTCTATCTTTCCTAATAAACTATTTTATCATCTATTTCTGAAATGAGGTATTGTAACCATTTACACTATTCGAAATTTAGTCCTCATCTTTATTTTCATGTTCACGACGTTTCGGTCATTGTACGCTCCGGCCTAGTGGATAAAAGCGTTAATCGAGTAATCCAAAAAGTGACTTCACCCAAAGAGTTTTGAGTTCAATACCTGGCCACAGTAGAGATACAAAAACTTGAAGAGTTGAGTTACTAAAGGGAATTAACTGAAACCAAGATATATATATAAAAAAAAAAAAGAAAAAAAAAGGAAAGGGGGCCTTGGAATTTGGAATGGGAAAAATATGCCCTAGTGAATTAAATAAAGTGTTCGGTTCGAAAATACAACGTATATCACCTGAAGAAGATCGGGGCGTACAACGGCTGAAACGTCGTGAATATAGTAAGAAAGATGAGGACAACAATCCGAACAATGTAAATAGTGTATTTATGTACCAAATAAATTATTTAATTAAAAAAAAAAAAATTGTACCAATTTTAGCGGAAGGAGAAAACTGAACGAAGTTTCATTCTTCGTAAATTGTTGCGTCTCTTGTTCACTTCAACGTCCCATATCTCCCTGTTTTTGAGTAGCGTGAATGGCCTTCTTCTAAATGTGTAAATAAAACAAGAAGTCGCTGATAAGAACAACAGAAATGGTTCTGTTCTTGTTCAGACCATATTTTTTTCTGATAGGAAAGCGGCAAACAATGATATGTTTGTGTGTTCTGAGAGAACAAGAGGTTACTTGGAAAATGTTATTTCTTGACTTGTCGCCAAATGTTGAATTTACTGAAGAAGAAGAAGGCATAAAACATGATACGAGGTCGCAAAATACATATACCCTAAATAATGTAAACTTCACATAAAAAAAATAAAATTAAAAGGTAGTTTCGCTCTTCCACCACCGTTCGTCTTAGTATGACACAAGGTCAACATATTAAAGTAAAAATACAGAGCATTGTAAGATAATTTTAGATATTATCCACATTCGATTAGCAATGTCGGTATTAATTCCTGAACACTAAAACAATTTTATCCTGTTGTTCACAGTACTTCTACAATAAAAACACTTGCAATAATTCTTCATTTTCTTTACAGCCCTATTTTGCCGATAACTTTCTCTAAGTTCTGAAACCTGGAAATCTCTTTTTCCTTCGATTCTAAATGCATTTCTCCAGTAAAACCATAAGCAGGGCATTTTTAGATTCAACTGATTTTCTGTGTATTTTTATTGTAACGACAGTCGCCTTATTCTGTCTGTAAGTTTAACCAGTTTGATTAAATGACATTTGTACGGTTATTTAATATCGGTTGAATAGAAGGACAAAGAACACGAATGAATTAATAACTAGATAGACATAAGTCCTATTTAAACAAGGTTCACAATAGTAGACACACGTCTAGTTAAGCTAGAGTCACAAAGGTAAACGTAAACATGGTTTAACAAGAGACACAGATGGACACACAGGCCTGGTTTAGTTAGAGTCACAAACGGAGTCACAAAGGCTTGGCATAGCTAGAGTTACAAACGAAGACACAAAGGCCTGGCTTAGCTAGAGTCACAAAGGGAGGAACAAATACCAGGCTTAGAGTCACAAACAAAGACAGTAAGGCCTGGCTCAGCTAGAGTCACGAACCAAGTCACAAAAGCCTGGCTTAGCTGGACTCACAAATAGCTAGAGTCATAAACGGAGACACAAAGGCCTGATTCTACTAGAGTTACGAACGAAGACACAAAGGCATGGCATAGCTAGAATCACAAAGGCCTGGCGTAGCTAGAGTCACAAACGGAGACACAAAGGCCTGGCAGAGCAAGAGTCAGTAAGTATCATTTTCAGTAGTACATATTTGTTTGTCAGATGCACGAGCAGGGGAAATGTTTGAAGATCACAGTGAAGTGTATAGAGATTTTAATTTTTTAAAGTTCGAGTAAGGGAGCGCCCAAAATGACCTGGGGTCACATGTGGACACTGGAAAACAGACCTGAAGGTATTTTTCACACCACCTACACGCTACTTCTATTAAATTTTATCACTACATTACAGAAATTGTGGTGTATGGTCTTCATATATCAGATTCCGTGTTCTGATTGACATACGGGGTTTCATCCATTTTTATGCCAGTATCATTTTTATGGCCTTGTGCGTGAATAGGTTGTTTCTCTTATACCCGTCGGCTGTCACCAAAAATGATGTGGGTTCGTCACGGCAGAAATAAGCCTAGTGTTGACAGAAAATAAAACGTACACAAATAACAGGAAAAGCATGATAAATTGTGTCGATTTCATACAATTTATTTATATTTTTGTGTGAATTGATGTGTGTATTTTATCGGTTAGAATTTTTTTATGGTACATGTGATAAAAGGGAGAATTTACTCCGTAGTATTGCAAGCCATATCGCAGTGAGAAGACGGACATGTGTTGCCCTTACCAAGGTTCGTGGTGAAGAGACTGAATTTAATGTCTTTTGGCTGTATGTCCATATTTCCGGCAGGAACAGTTTTTGTTGCATACTGGGAGTATTTTTGTTATTTTTAATTTTGTTTACTTTAACTTATACAAAGTTATTGTTTTATTTTATTTATAATTTTCATTATTATTTTAGATTTTACTTTTTATTTATTTATAAAAAATAATAATAATAATAATGTCCTTACATCTTATTGCTCTTTCAATAATAATAGCTAGAAAGACTCATGAAAATTTCACGGTGTTTGTCTTTTCAGAGTAAACTCATGTTTTATAGATATATAGTTCGTAGATTATTATATGTGTTATAGGTTTTGGTATGAACCTATTTCTTTAAAGTAGGACATTATGTTGACGGTTTCAGTGTTTTAAAATAGTTTTTTCATGTTGTCTTTTTTTGTAGGGACTGAGTGGGTGCATTCGGTTAAGATGTCTTTCACCATGAATGCAGCTTGGTATGTTGTACTGCTTGAATTAAATGTTAAGAAACACTGGTGATAATCCACCATTATCAGACTAGATCGTTTAAAACAAAAATCAAAGTAAGACTTGATGGTCGATCTGCAGGAAGAACCGTGAAAGATCGTGCCACCGACTTGGACTGAACGTAATATTTTTTTTAAAAATACATACTGCAGAGTTTCGCTTTTAACAGATTAAATCATCAAAATCCTTTACACTTCATTTCTTTTTAAACTGATCATATATCAGAGAGATAGCTATTTCTAGGACCACTGTCATCAAAGATTACTTCCGACCTTTTTTAACACTACAAAAACCATATTACCCCCTTAAATGTTATTTTAATGTAATGATTTCTTAATCGCGACCAGAAAATCCCATTGACCCGCTGATAGCTACGGTTAATCGAAAGCAGCTCAATCAGAACGAGGCTTACGGTCATAACACATTGAAACACTGGTTCGCGTCCGATCACAGAAGTTAAGCAACGTCGAGACTGGTCAGTAAATAAATGGATGACCGATTTGGAATACAGGGAGCTGTAAGCTTGGGTGTGCGGGTGCTATGGGTTGCAGTCATATCACGTTGAAAAACCGGTTCTAAAGTTAAGTAACGCCGACGTTGATCAATACATAGATGGGTGACCGGTTGGGAATATCAGGTGCCATAACATTGGGTGCGCGGATGGTGTAATGGATAACGTCTCGGGACTGGAAATCGGAAAACCAAGTTCCATTTCCAGTTTTGCTCATTATATTCACAAGTGCAAATAGCCTTGGGAAAGGTATGAATCCAAATCTTCTCCCCAAATATGGGTTAAATAGCAGGACTTGCATCAGTAAACCATTATTATCTCCAAAACGTTCTCAATTCAAATATATTTTCTGGCTTTAAATAACCTGCTAGGGGTTATAAGACGTAAAAAAAAGATGCTTAAGTACAGCAAAAAATGATTTCAAGAAAGTAAGTAAGTAAGAGATAGGAAAAATTTCCTTAAAAGCAAACGAAGGAGTTGAACAAAATACACCTTCGGATTTCCTTGTTACGAATACAATATAGTAATATAGACTGTATTGTACTGTCTACATCTGAACTCAGTAAACATCGCGAATGCTTATACTTTCGATGTTGCTTCCCACTGACTTTACCCTTACTCCATTTAAATTTATTTTGTTTTTTTTTCTAATGTTTAATGAATTTGACGCCAAACATTTTGTTAATCATTTGAGCAAGATGTAAGGGGTTACTGTTTTTGGTAAGAAAGAACGTTCCTAGGAACAACTACTTTTTGGCAAAGATTCCTACCCGTCCTGGGTATGACGATAAACTACGTCCAAAAGCAAGACCTCTGATTAGGAGTCTTTGAGTAGCGTGGAAGCACCTCTTAATTGCTGGTGTTCCCAGGTTCACAGAGATCCGAGGTGGTAGCATCTGTTAGGCTCCCAGCTATGGGCAAATAGTTAACACATGGAACTAGCCTCAAAACACTATGAAAATTTAAAAATAGGTTTTGATACCAGCAATATGGTTTTGTAAAAAAATTACCAGCAATAAAATTTTGAAGAAAAAATTATTTCTAGCAATACATTTAAAAAAATATTACCAGCAATAAAAAAACTTGTCGGCATTAAATAACCCATTGAGGTTGATATGCTGTAAAGCAAAACAAACTATATTCCTACTTTGTCTTTTTATGTTCATATCACACCTTATTGTGTAATCTTAAACTTGAGTGGCTCTTGAGCCTTATATGGAGGGAAAGAAATGTAAGGGCTCCATTTTGTGACTATCGTTTTTTGTCTTAAAAATCGCTTTAGAAGACCTGTGATAGTGAGGCATCTGATCGGTTAATGTCTATCAAGATACTGTTGACGATCGGTATTTTCACCTCTCCTAAATCCTTAATAATGGAATATTAATTGTAAATGGAGGAGATAAAAGATCATCACATATGGTATTTATAAATAACACCGACACTAGAGTTCGAATCAACCTTGATTCATACGATGAGACAACTACCTCATGAAGAGACTCAATACGCTCTAGCCTAAACGATAAAACACAAATTGCTTTTTCTCAAGTCAGACTGAAAGAAACAGACAACTCTTTGTAAAACGTTTGCCCGCCCCGACATACAGACAGAGACGGAAAGTTTCAGACAAATGTGTGGTTTACTTCATTTAGCTAAAATTCTCTTATTTTTTTCCTTATTTTTATTTCCGTTTGCGTTGCTTCTGGTGATTGCCTAATTTTAGAATAGCCTCATCTTGACGATTACTGAACTCGTGTTAGACTAACCTTATCGCTTGTAAATATTAGCTTCCATAACTTGAAGAAATTTTTATCAATGTACCTGGGGCGTTTTTTTTGCGTCGTTATAGTCGGCGATGATGTCTTTTTACCTGAGGGTGAGAGAGCGTAGGTATCTGATGAGAAGTTATGGAAAACACAGTTAGGGAAATGTTAACGCAACAAAAAATAATCCTTAAGAAATCATTTCGGAAATAGACGCTTATCACATATTTTTTACTTGACGAACGTGTGGAGGAGATGGAAGAAGAAACAAAAGAAACTAATGATATATTTGCTTTAATTTCGAGAGATATCGCCTCTACACCATATATATATATATATATATATATATATATATATATATATATAAATATATTATTTGAGCTGCATTTGGCTGCAATTTCTCTTTTATACATGTTTCATTAAAAACTGCTGACATGATACCGCGATTAATCTTTTTTTTTTTTTTTAACTTTTTGCTTGTGTGGTAAAAAGATTTTTTTTACTGGACACAAAATGTGTAAAAACTATCCAACAGTTCTGCATATCCAGGTGCTTTCGGTTATTCTTTTAGCCATTATCAAGGATGAGTTTTACTTTTTATTTTTAACTGAATGTTTGGGATTTTACGTATGTCTCTAAAGTTATAGGAAGGTTTTCTTTTCTAAACACGGCCAGCACATTATGGCTGTGTTCATAGTTAATGTAATTGAGTGTTGGATTATTTTTTATTGTTCGTGCTTCCATTATTTTTATTTTTTTTTTTTACATATGGATGAGGCTATTACACACTGTGTCCAGAACAGATAACGCTTATACAAACTCAAGTAAAATTAAATAAAAAGCTTCATCGCAATCGTCTTTAACTATATATATATATATATATATACCCGAATTGTTTCTTTGAGTGATTTTCGTTTTATGGTACATGTGATAAAATGGAGAATTTACTCCGTAATGTTGCAAGCCATATCACAGAGAGAAGTTACACAAATGTTTCCCATACGAAGGGTCGTGGTGAAGAGATTGAATTAAACGTCTTTTCGCGGGATGTCCGTATATCCAGCAGGAACAGTTTCTGTTGCATGCTGGGAGTATTTTTGTTATATTTAATTTTGTCTTATACAATATAATTTTATCTTATACAACGTTATGTTATTGTTTTATTTTATTTATAATGTTCATTATTATTATATTTCGGAAGTACGTTCCACAAAGCGTAAGCATCATTTCGGAAGTACGTTCCACAAAGGAGTGGTTCTCAGAAAGAAGCTATCCAAATGGAACTTCCTTCTTAGCAATTGTATACAAAGGGAATAAGGATAAATCGACCTTGTGTAGGCGATATGGTGGATCGTAGCTTTGAAGGTCTGAACTGGTGGAGCTAAGAAATGGAACGCGGTTGAATATTTGCCATAAAAACAGCGATAGTATTATGAAAGTCTATCAACGTTTCGTCTGTAGAGAAAAGAGTTGTAACCCCCACAAGGTGATTAATTATGGTTCACCACACAACTCCTTTTCTATGAAACTGGATACAATGTAGGCCACTTCATTAAAAGACGTGAAGTAACCACTAAGATAGGAAGTAGTTAGCTTTGAATTTATTGAATAGCAACTCGCATTAATTTGTTGAAAGATCAATATTTTTCCTTTTGTATTTATTGCTGGTTTGGGACCAAGTTAAATTTCTAGCATCTCTTGGTACTTAAGTGCCAACAAAGCTCCATTAAGAATGACTAAAAAGCGTAACCCAGAGCTAGCGAAGACAACTCTATAATTACTCCACCACCAAGCCCAAAGGAAACTCTTTTCGGCGATATTCGACGTAGATTATAAAAATTGGTTGCGTTGCGTTTCGTCTGCAACTTCTTCAGATCCTTGTGTTCTGTGAAGCCTTTCTCTGAACAATGGCATTTTCTTTTTACAGTAAGGTCCACTCTGTACAAGGCAGAGGGTTATGTTAAGGAGGGGGAGATAACGGCTGACTCGAACAGGTTAAGATTGTATCTGGCTTGTTGTGACGTTAACGAAAACAGTTTTGATTCCGCTCGCGATATTATTGAGCGGAATCTTGCGTTTCTTCTGTAATAATCCAAAATGTGTTTTTTCTGGATTTTCTATAGTATCTCTTCCAATTCCCATCATGTATGTAGGTTACTTACATCATGATGAGCTCAACGATACCTCATTTTTATTTCTACGCCACTGCGTTTAGCAAAGAACCTCGAAAAACGAAAAATCGATTTCAACACAAATTTTAAACGAAAAACTCCCTCAATTTTCAAGCAATCTAATACAAACTTCACTCAATTGTAGCCAACAATAAGTTGATTGTTTAACAGTGATTTAACTTGTTGAGCCCACTCATATAGTGAAAACCCGCGTAAATAGCAAAAATGGCGATTTTTACTGGTTTCTTATTTTTCGTTGATCTTTCAATCAATTTTTATCAAATGTATCCTCTTTTATATCCCTGGTGGCAAACTGAATTTCAAAGACTCCAAAATAATTGTGGTCTGAAGTGTATCTTCATGTTGCCTGTTTTACCCATTCATCTCCTTGGTTAACTTTGATTAAATAAATACAGACTACTTCTGTTATATCAGTAACTGTATTAACTCAAAACGTTTTTAATGAAAGTACTTTAAAGTATTTGAAGAAGAGAGACTGTTACATGTAAACATAATGCTGTTTTTGCTCTATTCTAATTGTGTGTGTGTGTGTGTGTGTGTGTATAGGTTGGGTTGCATATTCCCAATAATGCAAGTTCATGTGTATTTGAGGCCATGCCCAAAGATATTTAATTATGGTACGCCGAAATGCACATTCGTGCACGTTGTGTCACATGCATATTATATGAAAGTACATTTATGCATCTATTCATTCACTTACATATGTTCCTATAAAGAGTGCCAGAGTCGATTTAATATTGATTAAGGCACCAAGATTCAAGATTTTATATATATATATATATATATATATATATATATATATATATTTGTGCGTGTGCAACAGAAGCAAAATCGAATTTATATCGGATTGGAACCGAATATTCGGATATCTGCCAAGCTTTCAGTTCTTCTCCAAGAAGCAACTAACTTCTGCATGCTGACAGTTATTACAAGCACTCCAAAAACGCCCCAAGCAATGGCAGCTGGGGTAGCCTTCGTTTGCAAGCGAAAGGTGTACGGTTCTTTTCTTCCCGGCTACGTCCTCTTGGCAAAAGCTGAAAAAGTTCCCTTGAAATTAAC